TCTGTAACATTCTGGGTAGGAAGAAAGTGTCCCCAGTAGAGGGGACTGTGTTAACTGTATCTACACATGATTTCATCTGCGAAGTTTGTCTCTCTCGCTCCCCTTCTTTATATTTTCTGTTGTTCATAACTTTTGTCTAATTGTGTTTACCAGGGATGTCAGTATTGTGTTCAACAGTGGTAGGGATAAAAAACACTCATCTTGTTCCTTATCTTAAAGGGAATGTATCTAAAATTTCTCCTGTGAGTATGCTATTTGCTGGAGACTTTTGATTTTTGCATATACATGTATGCATACATATATCCTTTAAGGAACTGAAGAAATGATCTTTTGTTAGCATTTGGGATAGGTGGTCAGTAGCCTGTGCTTGAGCAGCCATTAAGGACTCTTAAACAGGATGGCCCCATTCTACAGCCATAGAGTTCTGTCACCATGCTGTGACTCACCATTTTATCCCTTGTATCTGGCACAGTGCCTGGGATTTAGGTATTCAGGATAAATGAATGAACGAATGCATGGAGGATACCTAATAAATATTTGTTGAATGTATGAAGGCTAGCATATTGTATTTTAAAATAAGCCAAAAATGAAGCTACTTTTCATTCCCCTTACTCAATGAACTGAGTTCTTGTGCTGCCATTCATACCTGTTTCCAGCACCTGGCACGGTTGGCTGGTCATCTGACCTGTGGAGGGATAAATGAGTGAGTAAATCGCAGAGCATTCTGCCGCTGGCCATTAGACTTTGCCCCTGAAGATTCTGAACTTTATCTGAACTGAAGCCAGGTGGTTAAAGATGATTTAATCAAGACAAAAGTAAAATACTCTCTTTAATGGAATAATTGCTTATTTCATTTTCTCCTGAAACTTGGCCATTCATCTCATGCCACTATCTCAGTTTATTCATGTTGTCCATTAAGTATTGAAAGTGATTATTCTGAATTAAGACAAAACTACTCACAAAGAATTGCCTTACTCTGGGACTAGAGTGTCCAGAATTCTAGTATTAAATTGGAAAGGGGTTGAGTATAGTGGCAGATTTAAAGTTTACCTGAAAAAAAGACTGTGCTGAGTTCCTAAGAATGTATACAGATTTACTGGTGAATTAGTGAGAGAGGGAGAGAGGTTGGTTATCAGAAAATGATCGGATAAGAATATCTTAGAAGTTTTAAATACTTTATGATGGCTCTATTGTATATCTAATTGTGCATCAAAATAAATTTCATTTAGTAAGTTAGTTATACCCAGTATTAAAATGTTCCATGTCTAGAAATTGATTAGTTTTCCTACTTAGAGCTCTCTGCTTTAAAAACCTTTTTTAACTCTACATTACATACAAAGTAAAGGGTAATTTATTTAGCCCTGACCAGCTGTGTCTCTCCCCTCTCTCACTGTATACACTCTGTTCCAGATATGTGGACCAGGATCTTACAATAGGATTCTTCCTATCTTGGACTATTTGAAGAGGCACCAGGGACCAGACCTCTATGCAGGGCTTGCTAAAAGATTGTAAAACACGTCTTCAAAACCACCCTGAGGATAGAAAATAAAGATGGAAGATGTCAGAGGCACAGAGTAATCAAATGGCTGAGGTTCGCTGTTATATTTGAGTAGTAAAGCAGAAAGTCAAGGCCTCATTGGCAGCAGGGTCTATATCCACTAAGACAAAAAGGGGTATGTGTGTGTATGTGGATGTGTATGTGGATGTGTGTGTGTGTGTGTGTGATAGAGAGAAAGAAAGAGGCAAGTGAGCAAGCTGAAAATATCTTAAGTGGGCCTCCATCCCAAAGGGTCAACTGAAGAAGCGTTGAAATCCCAATGGTGGCATGAACCACCTGAAGCTCAAGACTGACTAGGATCATGAGGGAAAGGTAGCCAGATTCCCACACATTGCTCTGAGGCCGGGGAAGGACACGGCAGTGAATCAGCAGACATGCATTATGAGAGAGAGAGAGAGAGCCAGTGCTGGAAGTGTGCCATGCCCTGAGGACAAATAAAAACCGGATCATGATCATATTGTCTATGAGACCTTTCTTAGTAAGACCATTTTCTTGTGCAGAGGGGCCCAAGTTAGCAGCCAGCTATTTAGCACCATAGAAAGTGGGGAAGAGAGGAGAAAACTACTTTAAGCCTGAAATGAGCAGGGACTGTCAGAGGGATAATTTTCAATTAGAGAAGTGAGTTTCAATTGTTACGATGGCAGGTACACATTGAATGCTTGATGGTGGACTGAGGACATTTTTTTTTTTTTTTTTTTGAGAGTATAAGAAGACTATGGATCCACCTGGAACTTCATCCCAGGAATGAGGAAGAACAGCTCATGGAACAAATTTAACAGGGAGTAGAGAAAAGTTGTTTTCTCTCTGTATGCCCAGATCCTTCAACAAACCAGGGCACACAGGCTCCAACCAGTCCCCTTCCTCTCCTTCTCTTTTTCTACTTCATAATATAAGACTACAACATGCTACAGTGACTCCCTTTCTAAAAACATAGGAAGAATCTCTCTTGACCTTGTACTCTACTGTCCTGCTCCCCTACTTACCTGCTCATCTTCCCCACAGAACTGCTGTGGATGTGGGTGCCCTTCTTCCCCTCACACCCTCTCAAGCCTAATCAGTGATGTGTGCAAGTAACTCGAGCATTCGTTTCCGTCATCAGTGAGCTCTGGATGGCCAAATCCAAGGGCAGTCTCATCTTTGCGACCAGTGGGAAGCAGCATGCCCAGCTCAGCCCTCGCAACTTAAAACTCTTCCCTTGCCTTTTGGAACTGCCTCTTGGTTCTTCTTTCTTATCAGTGGTATCACCTAATGCCTTTCCTTTGCACTCATTTCTACTTTTTGGAATCCATAAGCCTCAATTCAAGACCTCTTCCCTTCCTGCCTACCCTCACTTCTTCACTGATACTCATAGCTCTCACACTATAGCTCTATAAAACTCACAGCTCTATAAACTAGGACCCCAAATATGTATCTCCATCCTGATCTCTTCCTGTTATCCTGTTCCTGTTTCCTTACCCATTCAACATCCCTTCTTGCTTCTCTGATGGGCTCTAAAAATTTTACACATTGAAAGCTGACTTCCTAATTCCCCTCACCTCCCTGAAATCTCCCTCTGTCTTTCCCAGAACCATAAAGAACAATTCCCTTCTCACATGTGCCCTGTCCAAAACACCTTGAAAACATTCTTTACCCCTCTGTTTTTATGCTATCCCACTCCAATCCATCAACACATGCTGTCAGTTGTATCAACAAACCACGCTCGGAATCTAGCCACTGTGGACCACCCTGATCCTAGCGACCATGGTCTCTCCCCTGCTTGGTGCAGTGCTGTCCTGACTGCTCTGCCTGTTTTCACCCTTGTCCTTTATATGTCATCATCACAGCAGCTAGAGAGGTCACTTTACAACGATTCAGATGATGTTGTTCCTCTGTTCAAAACGCTTCAACGGTTTCCCGTGGCCTTGGAAGTTAAAGCCAATGTTCTGAAAAAGCACCAAGAAGACCCTACAGCATCTGGCCCTCGTACTCGTCTGTGCTCACTGCCTATTGACACTTCTCATGGTTCTCACTGCTCCAGCTGCACATGCTCTTTTCTGTTCATATAAAATGGCAAGCACACCTGTGCCACAGGGCTTGGGCACTTGCTCCTAGCTCTGCACCACTCCTAACCACATGCTCAATTCCACACTCTCTTCCACTCTCTGCTTTAATGTAATGTCAGCACTAGAATCTACCCAGGCTGCTCTGTATTAAAACAGCACTGCCCTCCCTATCCTGCTTACCCTCTCTATCTTGCTTTATTTTTCAACACATCATTATCACCAGCTGACATATATATCATTTATTTTTATCACTCCATCTCTACCAGACTATATATTCCATGATGGCAGGACTTAGTTTTGTCACAGGTGTATCCTCAGCCTTTGAACAGTGCCTTGAGTATAGTTGACACTTACCAGTAACTATTGAATGAAAGAATGCTTCCTAGTTTGCTCTAGCCTTTCCATATGCTGTCTCTGCAGACCAAAAAAGCTACCCTTGGAGTGGGTTTATGGGGCAGTGGCTTAACACGCCTCTTGGGACCCTCTCATCCCGTATTGGAGTGCTAGATCTGCTGCTGATCAAGCTCCCTGCTCGTGAATCCTAGAAAGCAGCAGATAATGGATCAAGTGTTTGGGCTCCTGCCACCCATGTGGGAGACCCAAATGGAATACAAAGTTCCTAGCTTCAGTCTGGCCCAGTCTTAGTTATTGCAGGTATTTGGGGAGTGAACCAGCAAATGGAAAATCTCTCTCTCTCTCTCTCTCTGTGTGTGTGTGTGTGTGTGTGTGTGTGTTTTGTCTGTCTCTCATTCTGCCTTTCAAATAGATGGAAAAAATAAACTTTTTGTAAAGTAAAAATGAAAGTTCTCCTTTATCCCCCTTTTTTCCTCCCCATCCCCATCTGAACCTCTTAAAATCTCATGTGTCCTTTGACACTCGAATTCCATAGCATGTCCTCTGAGACACTGCCTGACTCAGGTTTAACTTCTCTTTCCCAGGAACTCACTGCTTTCAGTTATATTTCATTCTAATCCAGTTTGTGCTCTGAACCACCCCATCATCCTGCCTGTTAGGCTCATGTCCTTTCTTTCTAAAGTTTCAGTGATGACCGACAACAACCTCAGGCCCTGCCACGTAGTAGAATTGCAAAGGATCTGTCTTTAAACATAAAATAATATGAATCCTAAATTGAGCATTTTCAACCCTGCCACAGGAGTTCTCCCCTCTCCTTCTCTTTCTCCTCATTGCTAATGTGTCCCCTACACATAGGATGTCAGTGTTCTCTTCCATGATCTTTCATTTACTGCCCACCTCTTCCGCTGAGCAGCCTTTCCTGTGACCATACAAGCTGGACACGTTTTCCCTCCCTTGGCCTAACTTACGGTTGAAATGCCCTTGACCAAGTATATTATAAAGCTGAACAACAAGCGTAGTAAACATTTTATCTAATTTATTCTTGGAGGAAATGACACGGGGCTGTGGAACACAAAAAGTCTTTTTTGTATCTTTCCTGAAGTTGTCTGGAAGATGAGGCCACTCGGTCACCTTTGCTTTCTGTCTCCTTGGAAGATTTCCATTAGGTGTTTGGCCAAGAAGACAGTAACTGTTCATGACGAAACTTGGAAAAGTTAAAAAGTTACGGATGAACCAATATTTTTCATTACATTTTTTTTCACTTCCTATTCATTTTTGTTCTCTGAGACCATTTGCATGAGAAGGAGTTTCTTTAGGAACCTTGGTTGAGAACATATTTGTTGGCGACATTGGACCTGGAGATAAAATTATCCCACAACTTCTATGGAATGAATTTATTGAGTAGTGGCTGACACATCTTCTTTAAAGGCTACTAGCTTACAGAATACCTTTCTCTATAGCTTTTCTTCAACCTCCCGCCATGATCTCAGGCAAAAAATGGTCTTATGTTTTCGTGTTACTGTAGCACCCTGTTCCTCTGCCTGATATTGTACTTACAATACTTTATTTCATAAAGATGCATTAATTTTGTGTGACTGCCACTACTATATACAGACTATAGCTCACATATACTATATACAGACTATAGCTCAGTCATCTCCACACATACAGAGCCATGCATGGAATAGACATACAGTCAAAACTGAAGAATATATTGAGCTACAATCTGTCCTGTCATATTGATAGAGTAACTGAACACTTGTTGAGTAACTGCTACATGCCAAGTATTTTGAAATAATTGGTTTTCTTTCCTTTTTTAAGGGAAGGGTTTATTATCAGGTGGGGGAACCCAACAGACCAGAGGGAGAGGGCAAGAGAGCAAGAGAGAGAGTAGGAAGCAGGTCCATAGTCTTGCAGGGGGGTAGGTAAGTGAAATCAATGAATCCCATTAGGTTGGGGGTGGTGCTGATGCTTGTGGGTGGGCCATTTGGTCACCTGACTTCTAGCCAGCCAGGCTAAGCTTAGTACCAAAGTTTACTGTGCAAGGTAGCGATGGGGGCCAGAGCTTAAGATGGCACCCAGGGCTTAAGATGGCACCACAGGTAAAAGCACCATTTCACTAACATTCCCCCTTTTGTTTTTTATAAAGCAAATGTTTTATGGGATTACACTGGCTCCAAAATCTAAGAGGGGTGGAGGGGTGATCATCTGTCTTCTAGAGCTACTTCCTGCTCGCATGGGGCAATGAGTTAAACTCTGCTGGCATAGGGGGATATCTCAAGTCATGATCTCCTGAGTGCGGAGCAACATTTGGTTGACCACCTGCTTGGTGAAGGCTTTGGTTCATTCCATTATTACCTCCTGTAAAGACTTAAACAGACAAGGTAGTATAAAAGCCAGGGTGAGAATAGCATCCAGTGGTCCTAGGAGTAGCATTAACCAAGTAATGAGAAGATTTCATAGAGGAGAGGAAATGAGGGGGTCTCTGGAACCTTATGAAGACTGTCTGAAGGATGTGGTTTTACCTGGCCTGATTGGTTAACATAATAACAACACTAGGTCAGTCTGTTCTAGAGTACCACACCTGTTAGTGAAGTGAGATGGTTTTCTTTAGTCCTTATAGTGACCCTAGAAAGCATTGTTATCCTTGAATTAAAGGTGTGGAGAGTGCAGAAGTGATTCACCTAATGGATATTTAGTAAATAGCAGTCCTGTCTTTGAACTAAATTCACGTGAAGGCAAACTCTGTGAATTTTCTCTTCTATTAGAGCTTAAATTATCTTTCAGACACCACTTAATTATGTTTAGCTATCAACTCTATAATAATGTGAAAAATATTTCTAACTCTGATCATCTATTTGATGACCTGTCAGAATGACAGACTAAGAAGGAACTTTAAAGATCATCCAATTCAGTACTCTTATTCATAGATAGCAAAATTGCATCCCAGAGAAGAAAATCACCTTATCCAGCTTCCCCCCAGTGGGTTGGAGTCATCTTCTTCCTTTTGTGCATTGTCCCTCCCGAAGTTACTTCTAAACCCTTACGAGTCAAGTAATCCCCTGGGCAGTGGGGCCCATATTGACCTCTGCCCTTTGCTGCGTAATTCCCCTTCACATTCTGTCTCCTCCAACACATAGTAGAGCACACCCTACTCTGGCTTCTTCTCCCTCTGCCTGCAGTCCCATCCCTCACTTGGCCTTCACATCTTAGCTCAGGCACCTAACATCCTCTTCCTGGAAGCTTTCAGTCTCCATTAGGTGAAGTATCTATGTGATCTGATGGTACAAAGCTCCATCACAGTGCATGCTCTCTCTCGTTGGTTGTTACCTGTCATGTCTGCCTTGCTCACATGGCTGGGAATTATGCTTTGTTCATTTCTGTATCAGCAGCCCCTCTTATAGCCCCTGACAAGATTGTCTCTCAGAGAATTTTGAATGAAAAAAAAATCACTCACCTGGATTCAAGTGGGCAAACATCGGAGGACACGGTGATGTTGAATTCTCACCTTGTTTTGCGTTTTGAAGTTTTGTCTAAAGTCGCTCCTATGCTTGAAGATCCAAAGAATCCCACCATTCCATAATTCCAAACATAGGTCCTGGTCTCTAAGGCCCGGGCACTGTCTAGAGTTGCTCCACTAGTACCTGTGGGAAGTTCTGGCATAAAACATGAAGCAGAGCATCTTCATCCTATGCTGATGATTTCTTTGCCTCTGTTTACTTCCACTAAAGGAAAAAAAAAATGCTTTAAAATCCTTTTTATGTATTTGAAAAGTTGAGTAACGGAGAGAAAGATCTTCTATACACTGGTTAATATATGCTCACAGCAGCTTGGGTTGGGCCAGGACAAAGCCAATAGCTCAGAATTCCATCTGGGTCTCCCAGGTGGGTGGCAGGGACACAGCTACTTGGGCCATCATCCAGTGCCTTCCCAGGTACAGCACGTGCACACCCCTGTGCAAGGTGTTGGTGCCAGGCAGTTGCCCTGCTCTGAGTCCAGCTCTCCTTGACCATCTTAATGCACACACCCAGAGCAAGGGGAGCTTCCCCGTTTAGAAATGCCCAAGGGTCATCATCAAAGTGTTGGCATTTGTACCTGGTCTGGTCAAGTGGTTTGAAAGTCAGCAGGCTTGGGACATTCAAAGCATGGAGAAGTTGATCAGGAGGTAGATGTGGGGACGAGTAGATGGACAGAATGAGATGAGATACTGAAAGACATTCTGAAGAAATGTGTTTGAGGCAAAGCCTTTTCTCCTCAGTATGGAATTTCTGACTTAGCAAAAGTGAAGAAACCACACGTAGGGTATGCCGTGAAGCGGAGCTGGAGTGCAGAGGCCTGGCAGGGGCAGGCAGCCTTGGCTTTGTGTGGAGTATTTACATAGCTCTGCCCACAAGGAGCACTGGGCAACAAGGCAGACAATTAGCATTCCTCATTTGTTCATTTGCAAATCAAAACAAACTGAAATGTGCATTACTTTGGTCCTCTCCTAATCCTAACCACTGCTTAAGGGGACCAGCAGTGGGGTTTGTGGACTGCTAGCTGCAAAATAACCAAAGCATAAAGGGAAATTATTTCCCTATTGCTCTGAGGAAGAAGAAAGCAATCCCCTTCTTTGGGTTGTCTTGAAAGATCCTTCAGGATCTGACCACAGCCTGCCCTTTCACTCACAGATACGACCTGTTCTCTTCATGCTTCCTGCGCCATGGCTCCTGATCTTGAGTGAGTTATGTAACTCCTGAGAGCCTCAGTTCTCTCATCTGCAAAATGGAAAAGATACCCATCCTACAGACCTGTGATGATTGCTCAATGAGAGAGTGCGAATAGAGTCACCAAGAGTTTATTGATCACACATATACGCCAGTCCCATATCTGAGGGTTTCGTGTTATTACTCTATGGTCTGCCTGCCAGGCGAGCCATGATGCCTTCCTCAAGCTGTCATTGTATTATGAGCTTTTGCCTTTGTTGAGTTGTTTCTCAGAGTTTGCCATTTTTGCATTAATTCTCAGACAACCTAACTGTGTTGAAAACTAGGACAAAGGGGCCAACGCTGTGGCACAGCAGGTTAAAGCCCTGGCCTGAGGTGCCGGCATCCCTTATGGGCGCAGGTTCTAGTCTCGGCTGCTCTTCTTGCAATCCAGTTCTCTGCTGTGGCCTGGGAAAGCAGTAGAAGATGGCCCAAGTCCTTGGGCCCCTGAACCCATGTGGGAGACCCAGAGGAAGCTCCTGGCTCCTGGCTTCAGATTGGTGCAACTCCGGCTATTGTGGCCATCTGGGGAGTGAACCAGTGAATGGAAGACATCCCTCTCTGTCTGTACCTCTCTCTGTAATTCTGTCTTTCAAATAAATAAAATAAATCTTTAAAAAAAAAGGAAAACTAGGACAAGGACAATAACTCTCATCTATTTCCCCAATAATAACCACGTGCTCAACTAAATGTTTGCTAAAGGAATGTTGTGAAGAATCGTGATTCTCAGTGGGGGCCCAGACACTTCCTGGCCCTATCCTCCCTTGCCATATTGGGGACCTACTCTGTGTCATTCACCAAGCCAGCTACCTTACATACAAGAGCTTGGCTAATAGCCCTGCAACCCTAGAAGGCAGCAGTTATATAAACTCTTGATAGATGACTGCAGAGTATCAATTAATATAAATGGCTCGAATGTGAAATTCAGGTCTTTTTATCATCAACCCACTAGGGACATACATTGAAGACCTGAGCAATCCTCATGGTCCAGCATGAAAAACAAGACCCAGATTTCTTCAGCTCAGACCTCCTAGAGCTCAAGCCATTCCTTTCCTGTCTGCCAGCCCTTTGGTTGTTTGCATCTTGCCAGGATTAGCCAGACCAGTCTGTACTCTGTACTCAGAAAAAAGTAGCTGAAACATTTCCTGGCTTAAAAACAATAAGAGTACAGAAAGTTAAATAATCACCTCGCTCTTGTTGGTTATTTACCATGTGCAGGCAGTATTCAGGGCTTTCTCCAACGTTGCCTTTAATTTTCCCAAACATCCTGGAAGGTGAATATTCTCATCCGTCTTTTCCACAAGAGGAAGCCAAGATTCAACAGGGACTCTAAATTGGCTGCTTGGAGCTATGGTGAGTCCTAGCCTGGCTGAACCCAAAGGCCTCCCCTAGTGGCACCGTGGGCCTGAGAAAGCAGTTTCCCCACCCCCACACCTCAGTCCCAGACTCTCTTCATATCCCTCACAGTGAGGTGTGCAAGGGTGTTTCCTCGTACCGGGGCCAATTGCTCAGTCACCACCCTGCGACTCAGGCCAGTGAAGTGGAAAAATAGCTCTTCCTCCTGACTCTGACATCTGTCCCTCAGGTGAGAGCCAAATGCTCAAATTGCCAGGCCAATGGCAAACAAGCCCACATGACACATAGAGAGTATCAACACGCAGAGGGTTCTGCCGGAATTCATCCATCCTGGAAGCCAGGCTGACCCCGGTAGCCAGTTGCATTTGATCTTCTCTCTGCTGCATGATGAGAGGAAGAAAAATGCACTGATCTCCAGAAAAAGGGTTTGTTTTGCTGAAAGTACCCTTGGGCAGTGCCCTTACCCTCCCCATAAACCACAGCACAAGCCAGCTCTCTGGGAGCGGCTGCTTCCATTGACTGACCTGTCTATGCTCTTTTGACTTTCCTTGTTCCCAAGCAGCTGAGAGACACCCAGGTACAGGAGGAAGGAAAGGACCTTTGAAGTCAGACGGATCCAGACCAAATCCCATCCTGATCCTTGGCATCTGTGTGCAGAAGCCAGGCTTTGAACTCCTTTGAGTCACAGCTTCTTCCTCTGCAAACGGGAAGAAATGGCAGGATTATCATGAAGACTATAAATGAGAATGTATAGGAAAGCAGGCAGCATGGAGTAGCTGCTTGGCACATGTGAGCTGCCTTCCCTCCCATTTCCCCCATGTTCATTTGTAATGCTTTTTTATTAAAAAAAAAGAGCAATTATAATTGTCACTGGTTGCTTTGCGAGCTAAATACTTTATAGATTAATAATATGCGTTCTCTACTTGAACACCCTCACAGCACAGCAGCCCTGTCCTACATCATGTCATGGATTTTTACAGGGTTGCTTTTCTCCCTTTTTCTTTTCTACTAAGGAAGTCCAGATGGGTCCCAGATCCATTCTCATACCCTAGATAGCCCATTGCGAGGGTTAGCATCAGGCCTGCTTTGCATCCAGATGATGTATTCATAACAAGAGCTGCCTCCTGGCCCTCGCCCACAGCTGAAGGCCTCATTTCATTTGTTTCTGATTGTCCTCCAGTGTTTACATACCTCGCATATTAGTAGGATCTTTTTTAGAGTACAGGCAGAGGGTGAGCACTCCCAGATCAGCTTTCCCTCCTAGCGCTCTTTCTCCTCTGCAACCGCGTCCCCCCTGACCCAGCCTCTGTGTTACAAACCATTTCTCTTTTATCAGCACACATTTAAGTAGAAAAACAATTTTAAGTGTTTTTTTTTTTCCTTTTCCTTGTACAAGAGGCTCACTTAGCATTCTCTGAGAACTGCTACTGAATATGGAGGAGAGGAAAAAGTTAGCTCTGGATGTGTGATTTGCCTTTTTCTTTCCCTGCCATAGGAAAACCCCATCACCTCCACTGAATTTATCAAGAGACTTATTCCATCCAGGGTCCAGTGGGAGCTGGGCTGACTCCAGACTCAATGTTAAAGAAGGTGCTGTCTGCTTGCTATGTTCTTGCTTCTCCTTATAATGTTTTTCCCATCCAACAAAAATGTTGTCTCAGGAAGGACATAGTTCTTGAGCCAGATCTGGGACTAAGTCCTGGCTCTGCCCTGATTGTAAGCCCTGCAGGGACCCGGCGTGAATTTCTCTGATCCTCAGCTTGCTTTTTCATCAAAAGCAGGCTTGCCTCCCACCTTAGGTGTGGGGATACGTGTGAAAGTGGCCCAGCTGGGGGTGTAAGGGAAAATTCTGAGTACATATCACTTCTGCTGGTTGTAATGGCTCTGGACACACAAGCTTCTGTCCAGGTCTGGCAGGAAGGAGGGCTTCATACACCATGGACGCTCACCTGGGCCATGTATATTCTTCCCTGGAAACACTGGAGGTAGGCAAAGAATGTTGGAGAGCATGTCCTCTGCCCAGCTCTTTTTTTGACCTCCTCTTTTCCAACTATCACTGTTTTCTAATGCTTTCAGTCTCCTTTGTTATCAAAAAGATGTAAGGAATAATCACTCCGGCTGATATCTGATAAATCCTTCTCAGTTTATGATACTTTTGTCAGCAAGTAGAGATTTCCAAGTGTCTGTGGACAGTTCTTAATTCTCTTACCTAGGTAGTTTAGCCTTCTCATCTTCCATTAGGTTAAAAATGGACAGAGTTCTGAAAATCAGTATTCTTTAGAAATCTTTAAGTCTATAGTTGCATGAATGTGTTCTGAATTTCAGCAAGCTAACCTGAAAAGCAGGAGTAAATTAACTGGGGGAACACTTCCAAGAGGCAGTAATTAGAGCAAATATATGGAAATTCATACTTTGTTTTCAAAGATTGATTTTTCAAGACAGTAGACAGGGAGGAAGAGATGGGGCAGTTGGGCAGTAGGAGGCGGGGAGAGGATTTTCTGTCCATTGGTTCACTCACAAGAGCCAGGGCTGGGCCAGGCTGAAGTTAAGTACCATGAACTCTATCCTAGTCTTCCATGTAGATGTCAGGGACTCAAGTACTTAGGCCATCACCTGCTGCCTTCCCAGGGATATTAGCAGGAAGCTGGATCAGAAGCAGAAAAGCCTAGGCTTGAACTGGCTCTTAGATATGGGATCCGATTCCTGCCTCCCAAGCAGTGGCTTAATCCATTGTACCACATCCTACCCTCCTCCCCAACCTGACTTTTATTCAAGGATGCCCTGATGTAAATAAGCCAAAGCATTCTTCATTTTTACCCAATATGCTGCCGAAAAGGTGAAGTTTCCATTGTGCTTATTCCCAAAGATGAGTCCTACAAAGAGAAACTGGCCCATCTGAGTGATTACATTGATTCTTATCTTTTCCTCTCTTCTCTAGAACCAGTGCATCCTCTCTACCCTACATTCAAATTCCAGTCAAAATGGTTTCAATTCTTTAGCATTTAGAATGAAACTCCCATGTGAACTCCAATCCATAGATGAGAAACACACCTTGGCCGGTATGCAGATGATGATATTAATACAGGCTGCAGTTCCCTGGGTCACTGAATGTACCAGGCACTGTACCAAGGCCTGTAATGTGCTATGCCAAATTGAATCTTTACAGTTCTCTGAGAGGTCTCTCATTTGTCCCATTTTTTCCAAAGACCCCAAGAACCAAGAATACACAGCAAATTAAGACAGAACATTAAGCATCAAACCAGAAAATCTAAGTCTATTGTCAGATTTGCACAATGAGTTTTGAGGCCAGACATTGCTTTCAAGAACAAAAGTCTTCACCAGGGAAACCCAGGAACTTATTAAGAGCAGGGCAGGAGACAGTACCTGCAGTTTAGCAGTCAGAACTTAGGAGATGTGTGACAGAGACGCTCTGTGATAGGATGCCATGCAAGTGCAGCAAGGGAAAAGGCTGTGTCATCCCCAGCTGCACCTGCTGAGGAGCCTTGGCTGGAAGACAGCCCCCAGGCATCCTTTTAACTGCACCCTAAAGTCTGTAGGAGGAAGCAGTTTTTCCTTAACAGCCTGTTTAGAATCCACAAAGAACATTGATTGGGTAATAGTAGAAAGCCGCGTAATAATTAGTCCTGTACTCACTCCTGGGGGATTTGACTGGAAAAGAAGATGTAGTTCTAACTTTGAGGGCCCAACTCACCTTGTGACATCGGAGCAGCAGAGCTAAGATCTCATCTGATAAATACTGTGCTGACAAAGCACCTCTCTCCCCTTCATCAGCTCCCTCCCTGCTCCGAACCCTGCCCCACCTGCCCTCCTCCCTTACAGGATCCACTAATCATTAATGGACCACCACGGATTGTTTGGGTTGTGAAAATTATGCTTGATAGGATTTTATGTCTTTAGAGTCACACAGTTGTTGGAACTTCGAAAGTTGAAAACCAGTCTGAGCTCATCAGAACCTGTCAGGCATTTGTGCACAAGACAGCAAGTGTGGCTTCTTGTCTATAGGACAGAGAACATTTAGGGAACATTTTGGAAGACTTCAAAGTTTTCTTGGCTATTCAGTCTCTCTTCTAAAGCAACGTCGGGTATGTTAAGTGTAAAAGTGAGTGGGAAACATATGGATTAAATTTTGTTGAGATCACATATGGGACTCAAAATGATAAAGGATGAGGAATTCAGGGCTTAAGGACTCCAAAATACCTTGCAAATAATTCAGGCCTTTGCAAGCCACATTTGGCTGCCTCCTTCCATCCCAAATGTAGAGACTGTTTGCTTGGGTGACAGACCTGCTCAGTGCCCTCCCGTCTGCTCAAACTGCTAAGCCCCAGGAGATATCTGCAGACAGGTTTCATGTGTGCTTGTTTTTCTCAGACTGAAGTAAAGAGATTGGGTTTCTAGGAAGGCTGAAGTCTGTACTACAGGACTTTTTACCTTTCAGAAATGTCCAAATGGAAAAGAAAAGTTGGCAGTCCTGAGCTTTATTAATCATGTGTCACTTCAGGTTATTGGACATGGTTTATATCCTATTCCTGCTCTTAATATCAATGATGTTTCTGTGCCAATAATGATAATAGGAGTCATTTCCTGCATTTCTGTAGAGTTTTAATTTATAAAGCATATCACTGGCACATACATATTACCTACTGAGTACACATTACATATGTTTTCATAGATGTGTACACATACACATGTAACATGTCTTATGGCAAACAATGATAAAGTACAGAGTATTAAGGGGTGGCGCTGGCAGGAGAACTTACACAGCACTAGGTTCAAAGCCAGAGCTTATAGAAGACTTCCTAGAGGAGATAATATTGAACTAAGTATTAAAAAAAAGCATGTTAAGAACTAGCCATGGGAAGGTATGGGAAGGGCCTTCTGTTCAGAAGGAGAAGAATTTATGAAGACTCAGAGATGAGAAAGAAATCTGCACATGTGGGGAATTTCACAGGGTTCAGCGAGTCTAGGGCCTGGTTTGTGATAGGCTTGGTGCAATGAAAAAATTGTGGGGCAGAGGATTGGGAAATAACCTGTTTTATCAGGCCAGACAAATAGGTAACAGCAAGATCAGAGAGGGTCTCATGTCATGGGAGCTTCTGAAGGATTTCAGTAGAGAAAATGTTGCATGTAGATCTGCATATCAGGAAAAGCACTGTGCTGGTGGTGTGGAGGCTAGTTTCTCTGAGCTGGGATTGAACAAGTGGGGGGCAGAGGACAATATTTGAGGCAGGGAAACCGATTTAACCTGTTTTAATTACTGGTAGAATAATCCAAGGAAGAGAGAATGAAGGACCAGACAATGGGAAACAACAGGAAGGCTTGTGTTTGAAAAAAGAATGTCGACAGATGGCAGCGGCCTGTAGGGAGGTAGACGGAAGAGATGAACAGGCATTGAAGTCAAGTGTTGAAGTCGTGAATGGCACCCTAAGACAGAGACCCAGAACTAGAGTAATTCTGAGTGGAAGAAAGTTCTTTCTTGGAAGTCTTAAGTCCAATGTCCTAAATGGAACTGAAGGGCAAGGCCCGAGTTTGGGATAAGATCTTGGCACTCGGTAGCATAAAAACTGTCATTATTCATATAGGAGTGGATGAGTTGACTCCAGGAGATATAGAGAGTGAGGTGAACATGGGAGAGAATGTAAGAGGG